AGGGATTGTTACAGTCCATCATCTTCTATCTATTGCTAATAATATTAGCTATTAGGTTACTGTGGTGAGCTTTGCTCTGGGTTTTCCGTCACTACATTTATCTTCCTTTACTTGCAATCAATCAGTGACTATGTTTACATGCAGCTCATTCTAAGGTAACAAAAACCAGCGATTCTTATTTCCAGGTGATTATACACTAATGAAAACATACCTATGAATATTATATTCCATTTCTGAAAATAGATCCTCCTAAATGTTACACACTGGACCTTTAAGACACATAGGAAATGTCAATATTATTCAGGTTTTAGGAGCATTCTTTTGACACTGTCTACAACACATTATGAATAAGCGTCTTGTGGGGTTTTAGGACTACGGGCCACAGTTTGCAAGGCTGGAGTAGAGATGCACGCACACAAGAAAAGCCCACATTTCTGGTCGGAAAAGGGACACACAGCTACTGTTAAACCTTCTAAAACACATTGATATCAACAGGTTTTTGGATATGTGGAAAGGTTGCAATGCCAGACTTTTGAGAAGGTGGTTTAACAGATGAAAGAGGGAGGCTGTACTGTATAAAACTTTGAATAAAATCCTCTTTTGATGCAAAGAGACAAAATGGCTCCAGTTGTTCCACTTTTAACATGACCACAGATTGAAAAAGGGAAGCTGCTCTATAGGATGTACAGTATGTCATTAACAATTATATTAATCGGAGTATGCACAGCTGCATGTAAACAGGAATATTAGTGGAACATAGATTTTTATTAGCTGTGTAAATAATTTAGTAGGTATGTTGTTTTTTCACAATAAGGGCAAAAAGACAGAATATTATGTGCATGCAAACAGTCAGTTTGGGCTCTGAGATCTTACCAGCTTCACAATTTACTTTAACGGCTTTCTCTAAATGAGCATGTCCAAACCATAATAGCTGACATTAACCTGAAAGCAAATGTAGGCCTCTCCACTTCAAGCCGTTTCAAATCAATACGGAGCCGAAATAATAGCTGGAGCAGAAACATTTGAGAATTGACACCCACACACATACACACTTACACACAAAGACATCTGAATGGTTGCATGATCACACTGATGAGCAGATAAGCTGGCGAACACGGCCCGTCGATGTAAAACAGCAAACGACAAGATGACTCCTGACGCTGATAGTGAGTGGACATGTGGACGGAGAGGGGTAATGGTGGGGTAGTGGGTGGCCGGTGGCACGCACCGCTTGAAAGGCCCTCCTTTGGTATGGAAATGGACTGCAGAGAGCAGATATGATAAAATATCTGACTTTCACACAGAATGCCAGGGGCTGTTTGGACATCTGCTGTGTGCTGTGCAGCTATCTGGCCTCTCTGAAACACATGGGAAATCAACATGCACACATTATTTCAGGCAACATACGAATGGCTCTGTGGTCAACCCACACAGTCATGTATTTAAAGGAGAAATCCACCCAAAAGAGCAACGGGCGATGTATGATGCATCCCGGATTCCATGTTGTTTTTGTTCCCACGGACGACCGGCAAATTATAGCCAATGAGACGTCATGTTGAGGCGTCGTGTTGTCTTCAACGTGGACGGTAAATGTCAGCTGTCGGCCCCCCTTTAGATTTAAAGATGTTTTTCCTCCTGCACTGATGTTCGGCAATCATACAGGCAGGCATCCATCAGTCAAGAGGCAGAGAGACCGACAGGAGCCTTAATAGACCAGAATGCAATGCAGCGGCAGCCAGCCACAAGACATGTTGTGTTTGCCGCCCTCACTGTGCTTGCAGCTCTTGCTCTATCCACCTACATGAATAACCCACAGCTGATCAGAAATTCAACAGAGCCATATGTGCACTTTGGACTCGGAGCATGGAGTCTGTGCTGATTTTCTGAGGTTGTCTAAAGGCATCTAAGGTCTGCTTGACTGCCATTGCCAATATCACTGATATTAATGTTATTATTAATATCAGTATTATTATAGCTACGGTTAATGTTGTTGCTGTTGTCACTGCTCATTGTCCCCCATCGTTGCTGTTATGTTCATCATCATCAGTCACTACTATTAGTGTAGTTGTTGCTGTGCACCTGTCTGTCTGTCTCTCTGTCTCTGTCTCTGTCTCTGTCTCTCTCTCTCTCTCTCTCTCTCTCACCCCAACTGGTCGAGACAGACGACCACCCACCTAGAGCCGGAGGATCTGTCCTAGGTTTCTGCCTTTTAACAGACAGTTTTTCCTTGCCCTTGTCGCCAAGTGCTTGCTCATGGTGGTACTGTTGGGTCTCTGTAATTAATGTTAAAGAGTTCGGTCTAGACCTGCTCTATTTGAAAAGTGTCCTGAGATAACTTCTGTTATGAATTGGCGCTATACAAATAAAATTTAATTGAATTGAAATTGAATTAAGGACAGAGAGAAAATAACGACCTCAAGTAGAAATACAGGAAGGAGGTTCAGGCAAAGTAAAGATGGTAAATTGAAAGAGAATTTCCCATTATCCATATAGAGAGAGGCATAAAAGAATCCAGGCAACTTAAAGTTGCCTTTCATTTTTTGTGAATTGAAAAAACATTAATTTTTTTTTTGCAATTTTAACCTTCCCTCATACTTTCATTGCAAAAAAATGTGTCACAGTTTTTTTAAAAAAGCTCCTGTGAAATCAGACATTTTAGGCCGCCAGAGCAAAATCCTGAAGGGACTGAAGGATTTAGTGGACTAATGGTGTCCTGAGCCGTTGTTATTGTCGTTGTGCTTTGATTACAAATGCGGTTTGGACTTGTGCATGTTAGTGCATGTGACTCCCTCCGTTTCCAACTGAATTTATATTGACTGAAACTGCTGTTTTTCTCATCTACGTTGGAGAATTAAGGATATGTTTCAACCAATCCAGAGTTGGTGCTTGTTGTAAAGACTGTGGAAAGACCTGACCAAAGATGGTTTCGATGGGTTTTCTGATTATCTGCCAGGTAAAATAAATGGTTAGGTCTATGGAGCCTGGTCAGGCCTACCAGCAGGATTTGTGCCATCATAAGTAGTTAGGAAGTCAGTCCTGGTCCAGTATCAACTTGTACAGTGTGATGTAGAGACTTGAAGCCACCAGTGCACATCCACTGAGAATGGACTTTACAGTGAAGGAGGAGACATCTTGTGTCCAGCAGCAAAACTTTAGAAATGAACAACATTTGAATATTTAGAGATTATGGAAGTTGTAATAGGGGCCGAAAGAGGAGATAATTTTTTAGGAGTTTTAATGTGGTAATACCAGACGCACATAATTGTTAAAAGCAGACTATTGTATATATGTCTTAATAAATACAACTTGAATAGACAATAAGACATTTTTGTCTCGCACATTTTCAACAGGTATCAACAGCAACTACAACAGTAAAAGCCTGTTGAAATCCACAGTGAACAATGCTGAAAACCGGCCCATGGTACATCCTAACTGCTGACACCTGTCATAAAGAAAGGAACCAGAATAAAGTAGAAGAACTTAATTATCCGGGAGGTAGTGAACACTGACATGAGCCGTCAGACAGAATGACAGAATCAAATGGAGACTTGTGACAGAAAATGCACTATGCTGTTCTCCTACAAATCTAAGATGCCAATCCTAGTGAAACACCTCCCTCTTGTGTTCAGCTTCAAAACTGCAGCAACAGAAAGGCAGGAAAAATACACTCAGGCCTGTCCAAATAACCAAAAAGTAATAGTAGTTACAACTAACAGAGAATTTTAGTGTTTAGAAGTGATCTTATTTTTCTCAGGGGTATGTAGTACTCTTGTGGATGTATGTTAAAATTTCAAGACTTAAAGGTCGAGTGTGTAACATTTAGGAGGATCAATTGTCAGAAATGGAATATAATGTTTTCCGCCATGTTGAACCGCATTTTTTCTACAGTAGCCCAGAATGGACAAACCAATCAATGGCTTTAGATTGGGCCTCTCACAAGTCCCGCGGCCACCAGAGTTTCTCCTTTATGTTTAGATGGCTGAGCTGTATTCAGTTGGTTGCAATCTACTTCCCCAATGCCACTAAATTCTACACCCTGTCCTGTAAGCCTGTTGTTTCCATCCTTTTTCCTCAAGGGACCCCTCTTCTATCATTGAGTAAACTGATGACCCCTGACTAAGTGACATATTTTATAGAGTTTATGTAGAACAAGCAGTTTGGATGAATTTTGAGCAGATTATTTCCTGTGAATATTGCATGAGAGATGAGTTTTCCTGATATTTTTTGGAACTTTTTTGTCCAATCCTCTTACATTATTCTTACATACATACACGTTTTTTGTTTTTGTTTTTTTACTTTTTCTAATGCAGAACAAGGCTGTTTATCAGCGAGTGAAGGCTCTGTGAACACAACTTGTGTTCAGGTTTTAAAATCCTAAATCATAATCTAAATTTATAAAATATAAGCATTGTGGCTGTTAACATCACACTTCTGTCTTCACATCACTTTTCTGTCATGGGAATTAATGTGATCAGTGCTTGATGTCTCAGGTGTGTGTTTTAAAATTATGAAATCTATTTCTTTATCTTTTTGTCCTAATTAGACAGGACAGCTGAAGATGGACAGGAAAGGGGAGAGGGGATAACAGCCAGCAAATGTCCACAGATCAGAGTCAAACCCATGGCCACTGCAGCAAGGACTCAGCCCTGGCACATGGGATATCAGGGAACACCAAAGATTTATGAAATAATGGAGTTTCTTTATCAGACTGTTCTTTAAATGTCACCAATGTTGTAATGTTTCATCACCTCCAGCAGATGGTGCTTAAACTACACTACATGAACAGGGTGGCTTGTTGCAGTTTTTCCTGGTTTGGTCTAGTCACTATACAACCGTTTGTCCCCTGTGCACAAAGGCATATAGAACAGTCCCAACTATGGGATGAACTGCAACACAGACTCTGAGCCAGACCTACCTGATATACGTGTAAAGCCAATCCCTGCAGCCAGGTTTTTTTTGGCCTTGTAGTGTAAATAAAGAGTTTCCAAGAAAAAGGCAAATATTGTTAAGAGGACCAGCTTTATTGATAGTTTAGTTGACCACCAGAGCTAGTAAAATCATTTTTAGATACAAGAACACTTTCTGGAAACAAAAGCATGAAGATTCTGCACACACAAGTCTACACTCATTCATCAAACAATAAATAAAAAAGTCTGAATATCAGCACAACAAAAATTACATACTGAAGCTGAAAGAATTCTGCAGATGAACAATGCAACAGCAAACCCAAGCACATGTCATATACCTGATGGATAGGAATTCAGATTAACTGGGTAACTGAGCTTTTAGCAATTTGTATCATGAAACAGGAAAGCAGTACAATATATGAAGGATGCTGCAAGAACATGATGATACAGTATGTGAACTCCTTCCAAACAAGCTATTATCTGCATCTGACGTCCAACTGAAGGGCTAACTAAATACAACAAGAAGGGAAAGGGCAAATGTGGACAGTTACGGGGATTAATAGCAAGGCTCATATCCATCCTTGTCCTTTTTTAAAAAATAGAACTATATATCCTGAAGGTCTACCCAAACTAGACTAACATTCCCATAACCCATTGCACAGTCATCACGGTAATCGGTCGAACCCATCTCATCTGTAAAAACTCACTCACTGTTCACCAGATAATTAACATTATGGGAGGGGGTTCTCACTGCTTCCTTACAATCAAAGCACATACACACTGTACAGAGACACAGACTAGTGACAGTCAGCAGGTCATGTTTCCATGCATATGTATCGGAAATGTGAATGCCTGTTTCCATCCACTACTGTAATCATTAGGAGTTGGTTCATAGAGATAAGCTGTAGGTGGCGCCAATTCTACATAATTGTGGATTTGAAGTGAGCAGTGAACAGATCCCCAGAGGCAGTATGAGCCACATGTGACCAGTCTGACAAACACCGCAATGCAAAGCCAAAATTATACTTTCCACTGAAATCAAAAGGATTAGCAGATGAAGCTTCACACAGCCTAACTGAACAAGGTCCTGCTTAAGCTAACATAATCTAATTTCTTTTTCTTCATGAGTCTTGTTTACACAGCACTGCACCTCCTGTAAAGAGCTGAAAAGAGTTTCACAGTCCCTGTGTGTGTGTGTGTGTGTGTGTGTGTGTGTGTGTGTGTGTGTGTGTGTGTGTGTGTGTGTGTGTGTGTGTGTGTGTGTGTGTGTGTGTGTGTGTGTGTGTCTGTGTGTGTGTTTGAATCCACGTGGTGACCTATATGCGCGTGCATGTGTCTATGTCCTTTAGGAGGTCCAGCGCCACCAGGCCACCTTCATGCGGTCCCAGACAGCATTGAAAGAGTCGAAGGCGGGCCGTACATCCAGGATGGAGAACTGGTAGGTGTCCTTGTTGATTTCACCGTCATAGTAGTCGATGACGTAGCGTACCTCCTTCCCGCACCGGTCAATGATCCAGTCATGGCGGTCGAAAGGCAGCTCGTAGCTAATGAGGAGAAGCATCAGATAATTTAACTGACTGCAATAAGATATAGGAGGCTGGTATGTGGCGCTTTAAAAGCACCATTGGGCAGTTCTGTGGACTTAATGTGAAAATAACATTGTGTGTCCTCGAGCAACTTGTGCTGCATCGTACAATACTACTAATTTAATTAAGCAGCATCGGTATCGGCAGATATCTAAATTCAGGTATCAAAATTGGATTGGAACTGAAACAGTGGATTGGTGCATCTTCTTAGCACAAAAACATGACTCACACTGTCTCAGTTAAGGACTAAAACACAGGCAGATAAAGTGGGACGGAGCTCACCCCATCCAGTAGCGGAAGCGAGCCCTGGGAGAGAACTCTTTGGCTTTACCACCAAACCTCTTCAAGGTGGGCCCACATGGACATTCTCTACAAGAAAACACAAGATGGAGTTCTCGTCAAATCACCGTCAATACAGGCAGATCATGTCAGTGAACAAAGTGTCAGAGGGCCCATGGAAAGCTGTAGTTCTACGCTGAGTAAACTCACGTTGCATGCATGGCCTCCCATTTCAGGATCTCCTGCCAGGCCTGCTCGTTGTTCTTATTGTGGATTTTAATGATGTTGGTCATATCTTGAGCAGCGAGGTCATCCTCACTCCAGCGCCACCTGCAGCACAAACAAGGCCAACCAGATATAGACTCCCAAAGAACCAGTTTATTAACTGCTATCTCTCATCTACACAAGTGGGACACTGCAATCATTAAAGTTCCTGTTATGTGCAGACTAAGCATTGGCAATAAAGCCAATTTAAGATTCTGATTTTACTTTATTTTTTTATCTCATGTGTTTCTGTTGTTTTCCCACCTGTACTGAAAACATATCAAACCATATTTTATAACACTATATGTGGTGACCATAAACTTAATGTTAAATAATACACAATACAACTACAGGTACAGTGGGTACGGAAAGTATTCAGACCCCTTTAAAATTTTCACTCTTTGTTTCATTGCAGCCATTTGCTAAAATCAAAAAAGTTCATTTTATTTCTCATTAATGTACACTCAGCACCCCATCTTGACAGAAAAAAACAGAAATGTAGAAATTTTTGCAAATTTATTAAAAAAGAAAAACTGAAATATCACACGGTCATAAGTATTCAGACCCTTTGCTGTGACACTCATATTTAACTCACATGCTGTCCATTTCTTCTGATCCTCCTTGAGATGGTCCTGCTCCTTCATTGGAGTCTAGCTGTGTTTAAATAAACTGATTGGACTTGATTAGGAAAGGCACACACCTGTCTATATAAGACCTTACAGCTCACAGTGCATGTCAGAGCAAATGAGAATCATGAGGTCGAAGGAACTGCCCAAGGAGCTCAGAGACAGAATTGTTGCAAGGCACAGATCTGGCCAAGGTTACAAAAGAATTTCTGCAGCACTCAAGGTTCCTAAGAGCACAGTGGCCTCCATAATCCTTAAATGGAAGAAGTTTGGGACGACCAGAACTCTTCCTAGACCTGGCCGTCCAGCCAAACTGAGCAATCGTGGGAGAAGAGCCTTGGTGAGAGAGGTAAAGAAGAACCCAAAGATCACTGTGGCTGAGCTCCAGAGATGCAGTAGGGAGATGGGAGAAAGTTCCTCAAAGTCAACTATCACTGCAGCCCTGCACCAGTCGGAGCTTTATAGCAGAGTGGCCCGACGGAAGCCTCTCCCCAGTGCAAGACATATGAAAGCCCGCATAGAGTTTGCCAAAAAACACATGAAGGACTCCCAGACTATGAGAAAGAAGATTCTCTGGTCTGATGAGACCAAGATTGAACTTTTTGGCGTTAATTCTAAGCGGTATGTGTGGAGAAAACCAGGCACTGCTCATCACCTGCCCAATACAATCCCAACAGTGAAACATGGTGGTGGCAGCATCAGGCTATGGGGATGTTTTTCAGCTGCAGGGACAGGACGACTGGTTGCAATTGAAGGAAAGATGAATGTGGCCAAGTACAGAGATATCCTGGAAGAAAACCTCTTCCAGAGTGCTCAGGACCTCAGACTGGGCCGAAGGTTCACCTTCCAACAAGACAATAACCCTAAGCACACAGCTAAAATAACAAAGGAGTGGCTTCGGAACAACTCTGTGACCATTCTTGACTGGCCCAGCCAGAGCCCTGACCTAAACCCAATTGAGCATCTCTGGAGAGATCTGAAAATGGCTGTCCACCAACGTTCACCATCCAACCTGACAGAACTGGAGAGGATCTGCAAGGAAGAATGGCAGAGGATCCCCAAATCCAGGTGTGAAAAACTTGTTGCATCATTCCCAAGAAGACTCATGGCTGTAGTAGCTCAAAAGGGTGCTTCTACTCAATACTGAGCAAAGGGTCTGAATACTTATGACCATGTGATATTTCAGTTTTTCTTTTTGAATAAATTTGCAAAAATTTCTACATTTGTTTTTTTCTGTCAAGATGGGGTGCTGAGTGTACATTAATGAGAAATAAAATGAACTTTTTTGATTTTAGCAAATGGCTGCAATGAAACAAAGAGTGAAAAATTGAAAGGGGTCTGAATACTTTCCGTACCCACTGTATATATGTAGGCTGGCAGGCTAACACTACTGCTCTCCCCCACTACAGTTGAAGTTACTGGCAGGAATTAAAGATCATTAGGGCATGTTGCAAACTCGAAAACCCAAATATCAGTGCAACATTTCTGCACAACAGTTGGGACTGACCCTTTCCGCAGCATGGCGTTCCAGAACATCTGCTCAGATGGGTAAACCCAGTTCTTTTCTGCGCTGTGACGGGGAATGGTGGACTCCTCTCTGGAGATGGACAGTTCGAAAGGCTGGTCTGGAGCTGGAAGTTGGTTAGGAGGAGGCATCTGTACACCGGCACACAGGGAGTAAAGACGCTTCAACAACACAACCCATACATAAGAATAAAATTTGACAGACATGCTTATTCATTTAACGATAGTAATATTTCAGAATAAGAAAGCAATCCAACGCTAAATGAGTTTTGAAAAATATCAAATTATCAACAAAACTAAAAAACGTAAAATGATTTTTCTAGTAAGATGTCCAGCATTTTGTGCATTTCAAGAGCCGAGCAGATGATGTAGCCATTTAAACCAACTTTAAAGCTTTTATCGGCTTGAGATTGGATCTTTTATCAACAACTAAAGGGATGACTGACGATTATTTTTCCTACGCCAATATTAAGGTGATTTTATTAAGGCAGTTTTAATTGATGTACTATCAGAACTAAGATACTATAATCTGTAGAATCTGCAGATGTTTCTGTAGGTGTTTCCAGTGGGGTGGTATGTCCGACAACTGAGCCTCATTAATCAGCACAAGTGAATTTTAAATCCTTAATTACAAACTATTTTTCATGGATCTGATACATCATAGTTCTCCATATGCCAGCTCTCAAAAACTTTGCTCTGCACTCCATAAGAGTAACTAACGTTATGAATATGATCTGGATTGTGATATTAAAGACAAGATAATAATGTTCAACAGAACATGATGCTGTGATATTTTCACACCAAGCACAGACTCTCCTCTCAGCTGTATCTCCCAGGCATAACCACGACCTCAAGTGTCTTTTGTCGACAATATGTGTGTTAACGCGAGGTTGATGCCCAATAAAATGGCACTTATTCATATATTTATCCATTTTCCTAAGAGGAGCAGAATCTACTGCTCTCTGCACTGGGCCAGCTCTGGTTTGTAATCTCAGTCTCTCGTCTAGCAAAGGCCCACTTCTTCCATCATGTCATGGCCTGTTTATACATTACTACTTATGCTAATGTTAATTTTTGTAGGTGTATATAATATGTTTATTCAGAACATTGTGGTGTATACTGGTAACTGTCATTTTTGTGCTGGTTTTCAGTTTTAAGGGGCGGTTATTTTTCTGACCCAGCCGCCCATGCTGGCATTTTGCTGACTTACTGACTGTGATGTAATTCTCCCACTCAGGGCAATCGGATTGCATATCGGGCAACCTGAGTAGCCACAATTGGACTATAGGACAACAGAGGTTTGGCAACTGCTGTGCAATTAAGTCCCTTTCACATCTAAAAACATCTGTTCATTACGCTATGACTGCACATTTATCTATTTATGCTTTACATTCATTCTCTCACTCCCATCCCCATCCATGCAGCACCAACTCTGTGTTTTCCTACACTAAAGGGATGTGGGTTACCATGTTTGAAGGGTCGATGTCACTATTCGCCGCTGCAGCTGCGGCTTTCATGGGACACTCCACAAACTCGTAGGCCCGGTCCTGGTGAGCCGGACCCTTTTCTGCTTTATGCATTGGACACTCTGGCGGGGGAGACGCTGCAGAACAAGAGCATCTTATTGAGGCACAACAGGTATAAAATACTGCACAGTAAGCCTATGACTTTCAATAATTAATAGTAATAAAAAATACAACATGAATAAACCTTGAAAGATGCAAAACAGTGCAGTCCAGAGGAGAAAATGTATGATGTTGTATAATGTTTAAGAGGTAGGACAGCAGGGAGCAGTAGCACAAGCCATTCAAACAAATAAAATCCAGCATAGGAAAGCTTTATGGTAATTGCACAAACAACAAATTACAGAAAGTGTTTACGAGAAATGTATTTGTTAAAGTGGCAAAAGCATTTCACAGATAATTGAATAGGCCTGCATGGCATTCTAAGTGATACCTTTGACAGGCTGAGCTTGATGCATGGGACACTCCGAAGGTGGAGACACTAAGAAAGGAAGATACAGGCATATTACAATATGTACAATTTTAGCAAGTGGTATGATATAAGGTAAAATGACATTATGATGTAATAGCAGTTAACGGCCTCATCTCGCCCCCCCGCGCCAGCACCTTTCACAGGCTGTGCTTCCTGGTGCATGGGACAGCCCTGAGGAGGGACGGCCATCGTGGCCTCTGCCCTCACTGTAGGAGCAGCAGGTGTGGACAAGGAGGCTCCCATTCTGTCCTGTCCAATGAGGAACGATGCACACACACACACACACACACACACACACACACACACACACACACACACACCATTTGGTTAGTCAGTACAGTTTATATCAGATGTACCGGTACAGATAACTAGGTGTAATCACTGGAGCTAGGCACTGAAGCCACTCCGTATCTAAAACGGTGCAATAGTGAATGCTGGCCTCAATGCTTGATCACACTCAGTTTGGGCCAAAATCACTGGATCGGATATTGGACTAAAAATAAGCATAATCTGATACAATCCATTAGGCTAAACTATTACATATAGGCTTAACTAAACGTGGGCTGTGTATTTCTTCCTTCTCGGTTGTAAAATATTTATTTCACAGATTGAGGAGGATGTTTTGTGGCTCGCTAAATCAAGGAGGAGATTAGGAGAGGGAAAAGACAGCATCGGACTGTATCAGCAGATACTCAGGGTGCTATCGAGCTGAAAACCCAGCTCCCTGTAGGGAAGTGCTTTGTGTAAATAATGACTTGCCTTAGAATATTTTCGAACCTAATGTATCAGTGTAGTTATTTAAACAAGGTCAGCTGTCAAAAGGCGAGGACAGTGTGTGTTTCAGCATAAGACATGGTTTAAAGAGCTTTGCACAAGGCAGACATAATAATAACAAATAAAAACAGAAACAAACGATGAGTTTTGCTAACGTTATGATAAATGAGTAATTCGAAATATTATTCAAGTGAGTTCCTATTTCTATAATAATAGAAATAACAATGCTAACAGCCAGCTGAACAGGCTGCCTTCCTGCCAGCAGGTATCCTTGATTAACCTCACGGTTAGCATTAGCATCGAAGCTTCTGTACAACTAACTGACGCTAGGTAGCAACGAAAGCTAATAATTCAATACCAGAGTCCCCCCCCCAACGTCTCTACTGTATTCTGCCATTCACATAGAATGAAAAGGACAAAGTGAAACGAGAGGGCAATTCATTCTGATAACCAGGCTCAGTCGCTACTAGCACTAGCTGCTTTCATTTACCGTTACCCGGACTAGCTAGCAGATATGCTAACGTTAGCTGTTGTTGGATGTTGGCTGTCCTCTCTTTTAGACCCCAAATCCTCCCTGACGATACAGGACGCCTCTTTATTTCTGTTAACGTTATTATGTAACGGCCTAATAACACCGTAGGGCTGACACTATCAAGAGAGACAATAACTAACCTGTTAGAGAAGTCAGCTGAGAAGTGTTCTTCCGTCAGGTTACTGTCCCAATGTCAGTGCAGGACACAGGAGGTTGCACAACTCTAACTTATGTATGTCTATGGTTACATGTGCCGTACGTAACCACATACGTCATCACGCAGCCTGTTAAAGCTGTAGCGCCCAGTTTGTCTACAGCTGCTGTTATCCGGAGCAAACTGTCATAACGTGAAAGTATGCATGAGTTTACATAGCAAAGGGATGGTTTGTCAAACTGTAACGGTTTTTGTAACTGAACAATTCCAAGCGTTTGCACTTTATAGTAATCAGACATGACCTTCAGTGAGAGGCAATAGATAGATAGATAGATAGATAGATAGATAGATACTTTATTCATCCCCAAGGGGAAATTCACAGTTTCCAGCAGTATCCACAAACTGATAATAATAATAATAAGAGGAGGAGGTCAATTTAGAAGAACTAATAGAATAAAGTAGAATAAATAGGTAAATAACGAGCATGGGGCTAGTGTCCTAATGTGCATGGTCAAATCCAGTGCTTGAAAGGCCTAAGGTACATAAGTAGTGTCAGTCAGTCAGTGGTCACATAATGCAGGGTGCACTGCGTCAGGTGGTATAGTTAACTAAAGGGCAGACATATTGGAGTTTAGAGTTTTTCTCCCCTGGGTGGAGTTGAAGAGCCTGATGGCGTGGGGGAGGAACGATCTCCTCAGTCTTTCAGTGGGACAGGACAGTGACAGCAGCCTGTCGCTGAAGCTGCTCCTCTGCCCGTAGATGAATGGCGCTGTGCAGTGGATGCAGTGGATTGTCTATGATTGACAGGAGCCTGTTCAGCAGCCCTTTGCTCTGCCACAGATGTCAGTCTGTCCAGCTCTGTGCCCAACACAGAGCCCGCCTTCCTCACCAGTTTGTCCAGATGGGAGGCGTCCTTCTTCTTAATGCTGCCTCCCGAGCACACTGCTGTATAGAAGAGGGCGCTCCCCACAACAGTCTGATAGAACATCTGCAGCAGTTTTTTGCAGATGTTGAAGGACGCCAGCCTTCTGAGGAAGTATAATCGGCTCTGACCTCCTCTGCACAGGGCGTCTGTGTTGGCAGTCCAGTCCAGCCTATCATCCAGGTGTTCTCCCAGGTATTTGTATGTCTGTACCAACTCCACATGGTCACTGTTGATGGTCACAGGTTCCGGGTGAGCCCTGGGCCTTCTGAGGTCCACCACCATCTCCTTGGTCTTGGTGGTGTTGAGGCGCAGGTGGTTGGAGTCACACCATGTGACAAAGTCCTTAATGAGTTTCCTGTACTCCTCCTCCTGGTCATTCCTGATACAGCCCACGATAGCCGTGTCGTCGGCGAACTTTTGCACGTGACAGGACTCCGAGTTATATTTGAAGTCTGACGTGTACAGGGTGAACAGGACCAGAAGTCATGTGATTAAAGTCCCCAGAGATTAACACCAGAGCCTCGGGGTGCTGTGTTTGTAGTCCTGCTACAGCGGAGTGGATGACGTCACACACGACTACCGCGTCAGCACGTGGTGGGATGTAAACAATAACAACAATGGCGTGTCCAAACTCTCTGGGCAAGTAGAAGGGTCGCAACCCTACGGCAAGCAGCTCAACGTCCCTGTTGCAGATGGAAATATTGATGTTCACGTGTCCAGGGTTACACCACCTTGTGTTCACGTATACAGCTAGTCCGCCTCCTTTCTGCTTCCCACAGACATTAGTGTCTCTGTCCGACCTCACTGTGCTGAAGCCGGGCAGCTCAACGTTAACGCCCGGGACGATAGCCGTTAGCCACGTTTCAGTGAAGCACAGCAAACTGCTCTCCCTGTAGATTTTAACGTTTTTCACCAGCGCAGCCAGTTCGTCGATCTTGTTCTGTAGTGAGTTCACATTTCCCATGATCACCGATGGTACAGAGGGTTTATATCCCACTTCTTCGCCAGTCACTTGGCCTTTAGCTTTGCGCCGGCTCTGCAGCCATGATAGGGTCTCCTCACCGCGTCAGGTAACGTTTACCGGGGAACCACACCGGCCCAGGACTTTGTGTTCAGCGTGAGAAGTTGTTTTCTCGAATAAACGAGTTTGGGTAAATAAATATCCATATCTATCGGATAGAAGTTGATCAGATGTGACAAGGCACAATGTGAATATAAAAAAGCAAAAACAAACATCAATAAAAATGATAAAAAGTCAAAAAAGATCACTGCTGAAAGGGCTGCCACTCGCGGCGGCGCCATGGCAACCGATCTATGTATCTAGTTAGGTATGCTATTCATACTTGGCACGTGACTGCAAAGTATGAATTGTTTCCTGTGTGTGTCTCATATCCTGGTTTAGACATATTGGGAAACTAGGCTGTTATTAACATGATTTATGGATGGGTTATATACTAAATAAATAAATGATCTTTCTGCGATTATCCTTGATATTACCCTGAATTATTTGCATTATTGAACTGAATTGAAATTGAATTATTCCCCCTGCTATACTTCAGATTATAACCAATCCAGTCCTTTGTACCAGTTGAAACACCTTTAAAGGGCCAGTATAACCCATGGAATGCAGTTTTCCACCTGCCGATAAGAAATTACAGCTCCTACCAAGTAAAGTTTTTTCTGCCTTAAAGTGACATTATTTCACTATATATCTTTATATTTTAAAGATTATACCTCAGTCAGTTTTTGGTACTAAGTGAAATACTTTTTAAAGTGACAATACGATCCCATGTAATGCAGTTATGTACTTGCCTCAAACAGGCTTTTTCTAGTTAAAAAAATGACCTGAGTTCACTCATGACAATTGTATTTTAAAGTTTATAGCTCAGCCAGTCTTTTGAACCAGCTGAAATAACTTTAAAAGTACAATACAACCCATAAAATCCACTTTTGCACAAGTGATTACAGCTCCTACCTTGTGACTTTTATTTCTATTTATCATTTATGGTTTAAATGGCAAAATATGTTTTACAGAATTTAACTTTACAATTGCCACTTGAAGCTGCTCTTAAGTCTTTGGTCTTTTGCAGAAAGGCTCAGAGGCATATATAAAAACAAGCTTTACATAGTGAACATCAATCCAATGTGCAAAGATCTTGTATTTACCTAAAAGGTGACGGTATCTTATTTGCTTTTTGTTCAAGATTTTCAAAGCCAGATTGTAAAGACACTATGGATTTAACTACAGACTTGTTCCTGTGCTGATTTGACTGTATGCTTAGAGAGCTACAGTCCACTACTCCAATCTGTGTCTAACCCTCCCGAACTGTAGGCCTCATTGCATCCAGGCTATTTTAATGCTTCACCAGTCATTGGATTGGATTTTACACTTATTTCTCTGGTTTCTTTAGTTTAAAGACTGAGGAATATGATTTTCTGGATGTTCAGGACTAAATTTACAAAACCTGGACTTTTATATCAGCTGCTTATTGAAAATGTCTCTGTTGACGTGCAGTGATATTGAAACATGCTAACCTGTGGTTAAATGGGATGAGGTGCAAACTCAGCCTCATATATACACATACTATAAATGATATGTATAAAATGTTCTTGTTAGCCTTGATGGATTTGTCCAAACATTTGTGTTGATAGAAAAGTGAGTGGTTTGACAGACATCTGTTGGAGTGTACAAAGCCCTCACTACGATCCATTCTGTCGTGCTTCCAGTCTTCACATTGAGATCTTCTTGAGAGAGATAGACATGTTAGATATGTAGGAGCTGCTCAAATCTGGAACATGGACTGATGTCAAAAGATCTGTTCTGGGTTTAACAAACCTATCCAGATAACTCAGGCTCCTGGTGGAGAAGGTTTTAGAACATCTCATAGAACACTGGATCATGTTACACAGTCAATTGATTGGATTCAACACCAAACCAAGTTGTAAAAAAGGACACAAATACTGAATGAAGGAAGGTGCTGCACAACCTCAAGGTACATGGAAACAATTATTGGCAAAATAATATAAAATACTGTCCATAAACAATAATAAGCACTCATATATGCAGTGCATAGACAATGTTATCGACAAATGTCATCATCATTTAGTTTCTCATTCAGTCTGAACTTTGTCTCTCTCTCTCTCTCTCTCTCTCTCTCTCTCTCTCGTCTTCATTTGTGCATGTGGAAGCGAGCAGATGCTGAGAGATTTGTCAATGTGTGTGAGGAGCTCCACACATCTGCCTCCACAGAGGAAGCACACAGTGGCAGCTTCACCTGCACAGGTGAGTTTAGGAAGCCCTTCATCCTCCTGGCTGGGGCTGTGGTCTGGGGTCTGGAGGTAGCTTTATTGCAGAAGAGTGTTCAGTGGACTGCTGTGGTGCTGGTTGACATCCAGGATCAGATACAGGAGTCCTCCCTGACCTCAACAACAAGGCATGAATTTATAAGATATAACGTATCATATTATCAATATCATCTACATAGTAATGTTATTAGTCACTAGAGCTGTGTTTGTAGTCTCAATTAAAAGCTTTACTTTCTTTGTTGACTCAAACACTGTGCTCTCCATCTCCCGTCCAGTCGTCTGATCTGATCGGGAGGGAACATTTCTTCTTCGTCATAATGGAAACTCTGGGAGAATGTCGACTCTCGGTCTTCCACCATCTGTTACCATGTGTGCACCAAAGGGAGGCGATGCAGGGGTTGGAGCGGCTGTTAACTAGCAGGAAGATACACAGCTCCCCCTTTCACTTCTGGGCGGTGTTTAAGGTGAGCCAGTGGCAGCAGCTGAGGGAACATAAAAATACAACACAGTGACTTATTCATTAAAAGTAATAATAATGTTGTCATTAACTATTAAAATTATCTACTTATTAAGATTTGCAGGAGAGTTTTGTTCATGTTGTTACTAATCATGAGCATACCTCTGCCAGTTACAGCCATATCTGTCTGAGTCTCTTGATAATGTTCTGAATGATTTCAATACCTGTTCTCCTAAAGTCACCTTCACCTCAGTCAATAAAAAGAAGAAATCAAAGAACAGAAGAGCAAGTCATCTTGCACTTACAAACTTGAACTAACAATGATATCAGTGAATAAACAGGTGTATCATATGGAAGCTAGTATACCTGACTTCCTGTATCTTTACACAATGGACTACTTTAGCTCATTTTCTTTTCAAGTCACAATCTTG